ACCATTCTTAAAGTAAACGGGAGAGAGAAGCAATGCTAAGTGACCTGAAGTGAAATAATCCATTGCATTATAAAATGCCTACAGTTTGTGTGCTTACGGTGGCGCGGTTATATATTATTTTTTTTGCGTAGGGCTTCTCCTTAAGAGTATTTGGGTTATAATAATTTGCGAGAAAATGCATGCTGGAGGTAGTGTATGTCCTTAATACCGGAATTAAACTACATGAACGACAAGGGCAAAGTTGAAACCTAAGATTGGTCCATTTATGATCCAAAGCCTGTGCAAAGTTTCTACACTGTTGCGGAAAATAAACCTTCCTTGCAGTTTATTTGCCACACAATACGACAGTCAATGATTTTTTAGTGAAAGTCAGTTTCTTGTGCGTTAGGTTTTCTTTTAAGAAAAAGCAGCTTTACCGCTTAAGTGCTGGCATAGTCTGCAAATCATTTTACCGGGAGAGCTTATAATTAGATAATCTTACAAGGTAACGTACTTTTTTGTTTTTGTGTGCCTTAAGGGAGGTACTGTCTGTTGTAAGTTCTTCCTTTCCTCCCAGCACTCCAGTGAGTGGAGGAGAGTTTTTGATGCGGCAGAGCATACAGACAAAAACAGGCTTCTCAGAAAAACAAACAACCTCTTTCATCTTTTACTTTCTTCGGACTTGAAGTATAGATTTGCAAGACTTCGAAGGCGATTGTTGAAGTCACTTAAAAAGAAATGGGTGAAGGCGCATATGGAATAGAAACCATTTTTCCGAGTGTATTCCCGGGATCCATTTTAAAAGTACTTTATACCAACCGGATTTCATACCTTGTATTTTTTCCACTGACAGACGAGTGACATAGGTTACCCCTTTATTAAACCTTCACTGAAGATCTTTAATTAAATATTATGTCGTTACTGCCAATTATTGTTTATAAGAGTATCCATTTTCATATACCTTTCTGAATAATTATCAAACCCCCTTTTCAATTAGGGTCATGGGTGCGGTCAAAATGAATAACTGATATGTCGCACAAACTGCTTTTTCGTATGGTAATGTTTTCATGTAAATTGAATATCTTTGTACATAGATGACACGCACCTACCGGACCAACATATGATACACGTCTAGCCGGATACAAGAAGAAAGCGACTGAGCTTTTTGAGAATTCCCCCAATGACGAATTATACCGCTAACGATATCAATCCTGAAAACTTTCCCAGTTGTCCGTTCGACGACCAAAACGATCTCACCAGCGTCACACTGCGGTATGCTGTGCCGACGCTTTTTGGAATCGTCGATGTGATCGGCTTCATAGGAAATTTGCTGGTGATTATCGTGATCCTTGGTTATGCCAGCATGAGGAACAGTACAAACATTCTAATTCTATCCCTCGCTTTCGCCGACTTTTCATTCATCATTTGCTGCGTTCCGCTCACTGCCATGGTCTACGCTACTGCCTCTTGGACGCTTCCAGAATTTGTCTGCAAGACCTACTTTTTCCTTACTTATTTTTCTGTCTACTGCAGTATTTACACCCTAGTACTGATGTGTTTGGACCGCTTTCTGGCGGTGGTGTATCCTCTTCGAAGCAGAACCTGGCGGACAACCAAAAATACCAGCATTCTTGTAGCCGTTACCTGGGTCCTAATTATTTCCCTTACCTCACCCATATTCATCAACGCTAAAGTTCTCCGAACCGTCAACCATAACTCCACAACACCCTGCACACTGGACGTGTGCCAAAACGGTTGGATATTTGAGTACAATGCCAGGAATGAGATTGTCGACTTTTCCCTCCACCGCAGTCGCATATTCTTCGGAGTATTTTTTGTTGTGGGCTACGCCTTCCCTCTGGTCGTGATCTGCTCCCTATACAGCATGCTTCTGTGTAAACTGCTGTGCGGTCCGGCCTCAAAGATGTCAAAGTCAGCGGAGGCCAGTCGGGGCAAGCGGAAGGCCACCAAGGTGGTCATTGTTGTCGTCCTGGTGTTTGCCTTCTGTTGGCTGCCCATTCAGGTGGTGTTTATGCTGCAAAACTTCTCCGGGGACACCGACTCCTTCGCATTCCGCATGGCACATGTGGTGGGGAATGTGCTTGCCTACGCTAACAGCAGTGTTAACCCGATTCTGTATGCATTCTGCAGCGAAAGCTTTCGCAGGGGCTTTGCTGCCCTCCTCTGTCTGGACCGGTCAAGAATGCGCCCACCGCCAAGCCCGCACAACGCAAAGCAGCCTAACGCACAGAAGCAACCTAAGGTATTTGAAGAGATGCTGGAGGTGTCAAGTGTACATTCCGATCACAACGGCAGTGGCCCGAAGTGTCCGCCTGTTGTCGTTCTCGTGGAAGACGCGCCAGATCCTCGTAACAACAATTCAGCGCCTCAATCAGCAACCGCCAACCATGCTACAGCCTAAAGGCAACTCCGTGTATATATACATATGATTTTGAAAGAAACCTTCCCTGCAACTGCCGTTTCCCTTTACTTTCATGTTTCACTTATATGAAGGCTATTTGTACAAGGCTTACCGGTCTAGTAATTGGTTGCTGAAACATAAAGAGCAATGAGCATTCTTGTTTTTTGAAGCTACGGATCAAAATAAACAAATTTAAGTGCATTTACTACTTTGGATTTATGAACACACTAATTAGTATTAATTGATTGATCTTATCTAAAAGTGCATCATTCAACCTTGAAGATTGGGCAGACCAAATGATTATCATAACTGATAGAATTTAATTCTTCGAAGCAATAGTGGCAGCTGTATGCCAACGGATTAGGCGCGGAATCGAAGACATGTGTGCAAATTAGTTTATAGTGAGGCAGTCTTACGGAACATCTGCCGTACTGTCTCCTTCCTCATCGCTAGGGCTAGGCAACACAGAAGTGGCCTATGACGCAGTGATTTACGAAGCTTAACAGTTCGCCTCTACGCCTGCGACCCACAAGAGGTGGCCTTCGCAAAATATTCTAGTATTTTACAAAGGCAGGATTCTTAGATCTAACATCTATGAGAGTATCAAGTGGGCCATATTACGAAGGGTCTGCAGAGCCCGACTTTGAGACAGTCTCTCAGCATACATACACTACTGACCACACGGACGGAGTCAATCGGCAGTCTTTAGGGTCAACTTTGTGGCTTAAAAGCACTGCGGATTTATCATAGCGAGGAACTTATGGATGTGCCCTAGAAATCTATTCACGATGTAGACTTTACTTAATCTCCAATGCACAGGTTCGAGCCTGTAACCTAGCATCTAGTCCTGCTATGGACTACAGAGTCTGGCGTAGCTAAATCTGCTCATTCAAGTGTACCACGCACGATTTTGTCATCGAGTAGTTAGCCAACAAATATCAAGGAACGCATGTACATGTCCTGCAGTGCAATGAAGTTCCTTGATTTTAGATAAATGAAAGTAGTAAAGGACAAATAACATGACACAAGGCCTGCAGGATAAGACAGCAAGTTTTATATGGCTTATTCTGTTCAGTGTGC